CTCCTCTAACCCTATTTTATTAATCTCTAGGAATTAATGATGACAAGTATGCCCTTAAGTGGGCGGCCAGCTTGGCAATTACATAAAGAAAATCAAAAAGAACAAATAACAGTTCCATTAAGTGAGGCCCATCAACATAAAATAAAAGATAAAAATAAAGGATATCACACAAGCAGCTGTTGGGGCCCATTCAGCCCAGTCTCTTTACAGTGTATCAATTATTTCAACTTACAATACATAAACACTTATCTCCAATTAAATGCCAGCAAAGCTATTTGTGTCATAACCTTGTAAGAGAATCTGTTTTCATTTAACCTTTACTGATCAAAATTTTTTCCTTCAACTTATCAAAAAAAATCTGTTTTTATTTCTGCAATAGTGATCGTTTTCCCTCTTGTGCTAATGGGCTTTGCCTGATCAATTATATATTTTAAATCCTATGGATGCAATACCCACATCTGCATCCATAGCAGATAATTGGTTTTTCGTGTTCTGCCTTCTCATTCTGTTATATGGTTATTTGCTATGATCTGCTTACCCTATTCAGTTATATGTTATCAAATGTTGAAGGACCTTGTGGGCATATATGGTATCTATTGAATGTTGACCGAATCAAAACATTTAATCTGTGCAGAGATTGTGATGTTGCAAAACAAATTTCAGCAGGATAGAAAGCGGATACAACAACTGAGGGCTGCTAGGAAATTCCGGCCCTACTAAATGATGTAAGCCTTTTGATGGAAGATTTAGAAGCCTCCCAGGTGTTTCTCATGTATTGTCTATCAAACGAAACACAGCTTTAATATTTCAAGATAAATTCTAGAGAATTTCTTGCTTGCTTATTGGTGAATTCTTGAAGAAATGGAGCAGATGGATAAAACTCAGTAATTGAATATACCAGTTTTGTGTGGTTTAAGAGAAAATTTTGAGGCATTTATCACACTAGATCTTTTCATTGGCCATTATTGGTTCCCCCATTTGTTCAAACGATGGTGACTTTGCCTACTATATATATTCTATCAACAAATAAACCATTTGTCACCCACTGTTAATTTCTTTCCCTTCGTTTCATCACTTCATCTTATAGCCAGAATGGCAAGAAGAAAGTTATCAGGACATTCCATCACATGGCACAACAAATGGAATACCAAAGCTTATGTATGTGTTCCCAAATGAATACTAGACCTTGGCACACCAATGAATCTTGTTGCTCAGAATATCATGTTTTGATAACATTTTTGTTCAGAACTTGAGGCTTCATATACAATACAAGGTTGTCGATGATTCATTTAGATGGGAAGGTGAACTTTGCAGTTCAGGCGAGGTTGATTTCGTCCCACTGTCATACCCAGAACCTAATTATTGATCAAATATTTCATACAAGATTTCCATGCAAGTTTTAGTCTTTTGAGATTCACCTTCACTTCAACCTCAACTTCTAAGCGGGAAGAATGAAAGAAGATTGAAGTGAAACATCGCAAGTCATGCTGCTGAGTTTTGTTACTGATTAGATTAGAAGACCTTAAAGCACCATATTCTGAACAAGTGAGCAACCTCATGATGATGGAAACGGATTTGCTCCTTACACCAACCTCACAGTCAAGGTTCAAAGTATGGATATGTATCGGTCCGTATTGGACGATACATATTGTGCCAATGACTTCCCGATACACCCCTCCAGGGGTTGTATCAGGCCAGACCATGGTTCAGAGGGTAGTCGGGCCTTAAACCGACCCCTCTAAACCGATTTTGAAAAATAAATAAATAAAACTTAAAAAAAGTACCGATACAGGCTGATACGCCCTACCATAAGTATGAGAGATATTCCCGATTTGTGGTTGCAAATGCTGTGAGGTTGGTCTGAGGTGCATTCTGTGAGGAGCAAAACAAAACAAAAAACTATGCTGATTAGAGTTTATGGAAGACCATGCAAACATACGTGGGTATACCAATCACGGGTGAAATTTGGTTGGTAATACTGTAACAAGACCCTTGCAAAAACTGTTGTGGATTGGCACCTCTATCTTTTCAAGGTCCAATCTCCTGCCCACGTCTACTCACATAACATCGCAGTCACACACAAGGAACATCTCATCCTCCTATATAATATTATGCACGAGGAGATGTTGTCAATGCACGGAGGTAGTGTGTTGTGAGTAGACGTGGGCAGAGTTCTTATCGACAGGAGATCTGGAGTCCTCTTTTCATAGCCTACTACAATTCTGGTTTAAAGAGGTTGTTAGGGTCTCATTAGAACTCAGGATGAACATACAATAATCTAGTGTGTTTCAACATACCCTAGGATCCGTCACTCAGCATGCTTCACTCCAACCTCACAGCATGTGAACATCTCCTATACTTGTATTTATTATTCATGGGAAGATATTCTCAATACAGGGTGGGATGTGGTTGAAATTGCGATTGCCCTTAAACTATATGGTTGTTTAACCGTAAATAGACGCAGCCGTCGGAGAATTTTTGTTATTTAAAACATTCCTTCCATATATTAGTGACTATTTATGGAAGTTGTCCAAGTCCAACTAGGTCATTAATTATTTTTAATGATCACTAGTCAAAAGCCTATGTGATGCATGGGTAAAAATAAAATATAATTAATATAAATAAATAATTGCAATTCATTTTTAATTATTTCTAAAACCAATTATTGGATAATTACTCAACTTTTTTATAATTAAATTTAAAATATCAAACAAAATAATACAACCTACAATCCAAAAAACGAACAAAACCCTGTAATGTTGACAACATTGAAATTATCAAAACAATGTTGGTACCGTTGAAAAACTTTAATTAAACTCTCTACAATAACTTACCCACACTAAATTGATCAAACTGAGTGGCAAATCTGCTCAATATTCATACCATCAAAACATCAAAATTATGTCAAAACTCAAAATCTACAAGACCTGTTGCTTGTAGAAGGAATCATTAAAAAATATATCATAGAAGGGTAATCATGCATAAAATGTTTTGAACAAAAAATTAAATTTAAATTTATCATAATATAAGGGCAATTATATCTCTAGTCTTATCTTAATTTTACTTTATTAATAAAAGCCCTTTCTATGAAATTGAAAACAAATGAAAGGGTTTTAGTAAAAGAATTCAAAAAGAAAAAAGAAAAAAGATATTTAACAAATAGCCAGATTTTGGCTTAGCAAAGTAGGGGCAGGATTCAACATGTAGTAACATAAATACTCTTAAAAAAAGTATAATTCACTTTGAATCTTAGGCCTCCTCAACCTCTCTATGACTCTAATTGCAGACATGTTCTTTTTGCTTAGATGAATCCTAACAAGATTCTCCACATAAGTTTCAACTGAAACACATTTTAGTACATCACCCACGAAAAATATATCAAATTGGGTTTGGAATAGCGTAGAGAAAGAGAACAGATTTGTAGCAATGTCAAGTATAAACAATCAAAATTAAAGAAGAAAACACAAAAAAAAAAAAAATCCAACTACGAAAAATTCCAGAGGGGATGGAGAATTCCCGAACCAGCAATGAACTTGATTGCTTCTCAGAGAGGCCAGAAAAGCACAAATGATCTTCCTACCTCCCTAAACTATGAATTTAATATGTTTCTACTCGGAATAAAATGCTTAGCAGATCAAAAATAGAATCAGAAATTAACTAAAGAAGGAGATAGGGAGTAAATATATATAAATAAAATTATAAAATAAATAAGGTAAATAGAAAATCAAGTGAGGGAGTAAATATATATAAATATATATACGATTCTATGTCTTACTTTGCTAGCAATAATAATTTGTTAGATTATTAAATTATTAACTAATTAAATAATTTAGTAAAATAAGTAAATAAATAAATAAAACTTTGTGTTATCAATACAAGATTGGTAAAAGTTATCTCAAATTATTTAGTTAAGGGAAAATTCTTGATCAATACAATATACTTTGACGAGTGAAAATTTGGTCCCTGAAATTTAAAATGTGATAATCCAGTACTCAAATTTTCGAAATACAACAATGTAATACCTGCCGTTAATAGACTGTTAATTATGCATATCACGTGAACTCATGTGGGATTTAAGACTTTTAATAATATCAAAAGTACCCTTCAAAATAAAACACAGACACAAATGCGATCTTTTCACCCACTCATTGGATGGTTGGAATTGCTCCATATCATTTTTGTTTTCTTTTTTTTTATATTCTAATGAGAAATGTGTTGATTATTACAATACAACTACTAAAGAAGAAGAAAGAAAGGGAGAAAAAAACAGGAACCCAGAAAAGTAAGTTCTTCGTGTGCACGATGCATACATTACAACTAAATAAGCAGTCTTAACTCAAGTCTTCATACGCATTCCTGTTTTCTTTCTGCAAAAGTTGTATAAAATACGAGAGGAAAGAAAGGGAGGAAAAAGCAGCGAGCCTCAAATTTCTCTGGATTTCCCCCTAGAGAGGAGCCATCGGAGCTGTTTGCTGGTGATGGTGGGCGATGATCAATCATCTATTGCAATGGCGAGTAGAGATAGGGATCGAGAGCTTCTCATACCAGTTGCCGATGATGCCTCTTCCAAAGCTTCTTTGTCATCTGTTGCATCGTCTCATCATTTTGTACAGAGGTCAGCTATTTCTCTCCCTTCCTAGCAATTCCTTTTGTTACTGGATTTGTCTTGCTGATTTGGTGGTGACTCATGCTAACTTTTTCCCCCTTGAGTTTGATTTATTCTTTTTGGGACCTTATTACTTGATTCAGTTTGTTTTTAGAAACCCATTTGCCTTTTTTTAGGTTTTTGCTCCTGATAATGAGACGCGCCTTATTTTTCGAATGGGTTTCCGTAGAAACCTCTGTTTAGTTCTAGAGTTCTGTTGATAGTGGGAGAAGGAGATGATTTGGTTTTCCTTGCATACGCATTCTCTCTCCTCTCCAAGAAGTCAGAGCTGGGAAGATTGGTAACCAGTACCAGAAAGAATCTAAACGTATTCTTGTTTAGTTTGCTATTTGATTGATTATCTCTGAGAGGGAAAAATTAAAAAGAATGAAAAATTTAATGGTTGGTTCTGATTTTAGCACATGGTTGATAAAGAAAATTAGATGATAATTTGAAGGGCATTTGTGTCTTTTCACATGTTACTTAATAGCTAGTTAACGACAAGTAGGGGTGTAAACGGATCGAATTCGACTAGGATAAGACAATATCCAAATTTGAATCCGATTAGAAAATTCGATTCGATATTTGATGGATATTGAAAATTATTATCCGAATTTAAATTTGATTAAATATTTGAATATTCGATTCAATTCAATTTTGATTAATTAATTATTTTAAATAATTAATATATATATATATAAAATAAATATTTATTAATATAAATTATTTAGATAACTTAATTATTATATATAAATTATATAAAATATTTTATATAAGAATTAAATAATCGGTCAAATTGGGACATTTACCGAATCGAATCAGGTCATATCTGAATTCGAATCCAATTAAATATTCGGTATGAATAGGATATCCGAATTCGATCGTTAGATATTCGGATTATTCGAGTTTGATTCGATTATGTTGAATACCGTTTACACCCCTAACGACAGATACTAGATTGTCGCATTTCAAAAGTTAGGGTATTGGATTGTTGCATTTTAAAGTTCGGGGACCAAATTGTCACTCGAGCCAAAGTATAGGGTATAGATTGGGAATTTTCTCTTTAATTAATTAATTTATTATTGTTAATGGGTTGGGCTAAACTACTGGGCTACCGAGCCCATGAACAAGCTTAGCCCGGTTTATGGCCCAGCCTAGCCTAAGACTTGGCCCGCAGACCAGCCCAACCCGTGGCATGGCATGGGCCCCGTATGGGCTCGGGTTAAAATAAAATTTTAAGATCTTTAATTTTTTTGTCTATTTTTTTAATTTATGTTAAAATTTTCATTATTTTTTCAAAATTTTTAAAAAACATGGCTTAACCCAGTTCGTGGCCTAGCTTGGCCTAAGACTTAGCCTATGGACCGGCCTGGCCCATGGCACAACATGTGCCCGGGCCGTATATTATATACAATAATTATACAATATATTAATACATATAACTTTATAATCAATTTTATTATTGCATATATAAACAATTTTACACATCAAAATTCATATAAAATAAAATGTTAAGATCTTTTTAAATTTTCTGTCTACTTATTTTAATTTATGTTAAAACTTCCATTATATTTTGCAAAATTTTTAAAAACACATGGGTTAGCCCAGTTTGTGGCCTGGCCTGGCCTAAGACTTGGCCTGTACCATGGCATGGGCTTGTGTGGACTCGGACCGACCCCTAAAGTATCCTAGTGGTGGGAAGCACGACTTGTACGGCATGGCCTAATATGACTCGATTGTAAATAAAATGAGAGATAAAGTCAATTTTTAACAATTATGAAAAATGTAGAAGTTTAGTGGCATCAAAGTAAATAGTTAGTAGTAGCACCATTATAAATAATTACATGTTTAGTACCAAATATGAAAGAGGAAAAGGAGAAAAGATAAGTTATGATTTTTTTTTTGTTTCGATTGTAAATAAAATGAGAGATAAAGTCAATTTTTAACAATTATGAAAAATGTAGAAGTTTAGTGGCATCATTGTAAATAGTTAGTAGTGGCACCATTATAAATAATTACATGTTTAGTATCAAATATGAAAGAGGAAAAGGAGAAAAGATAAGTTATGATTTTTTTTTGTTTTATTTAATGACATCATTGTAATTAATTAAATTTGTAGCGGTAATGGTTAAAAGCATGAAAAGGGAAAAATTATAAGATTATAAGATTTCATGTAGGTTATATAAAAAAAGATTCCATTTGGCAAATGTACAACAATCCAGACTTGTGCTTTTAGGTTATATATATAGATTATAATTTTTAGGCCATGTTTGGGAGTACTTAAAAAGTAGTGTTTATTTGAACTAAGTGTTTATCTGGGTTGGGACTATTACCATTAAGCACTTATTGGTGTTTAGAAAATAAGTCCGAAATAAGTGCTTATTTTAAAAATAATGGTTTTTTTTAAGCCCTAATTTTTTTCTTCCAAAATTATCCCTAGGTGAATTTTATAAAAGTGTTTTTTTTTAAATGCTTTCGTAAAAGTGTTTTTTATAAAATTGATTTTATTATAGTGCCTTAATAAAGTACTTTTATAAAAGTGCTTTCATAAAAGTGTGGATTTGGTACATTAGGTAGGTAATCCTAGCAAAAATGTGGATTTGGACTTTTAGTCGTCTTACCACCTATCTTTGGAATTATTAGTGTTACCCTAAAATACCAAAAAAAAAAAAGATTTTAGGCAAATTGCTGAAACCTTCCCTAAAATTTTTGACAGTTGCTGATCTATGCCCTGCTTTTTTTTTTTTTTTCTAATGGTAGTCAACTCCCTTGAAGTTTCTAACACCCTTTCTCTTATAATTATAATAGAAAATGTTGATGCCTAGGTCTCAATTTTTTTAGGGATAAGTAGACTGCTCCACCTCAGAATTCTAAATTAAACTGCAGGCATATAACAATTCAAAATTATAAACACCTCTCCACCTATAACACCCATACTCGTTCGTGAATTGGCATCAATTCCAATCTGGCACCTACTCCCTAAAGGAAGGGTTAGGATCCATCATATGGATGTTCGAATCATGCTAGATGGTTGGGCAAATTTTCAAAATTTTCCTAATCTTTTTGGGAATCGAATTCCCTATGTTTTGGAAAACTGCATTTTTCAAGATCGATCTTGCACTGAATCGGACTATATTTGATACCAACCAAAGAGGGAGATGTATACCTAATACAGATGACACAAACACATATCCCAAGGTGAAAGTTCACGCCCAAATCAGACGTAAGACCAGCCTTCATTGAAGATGGCGCAGCATATTTTTAAAGTCGGTTCAGCAACGCAATTTTTAGCAAAACTACAATCCAACTACTTAGATTGAACTGGGGAGGTGAGCACAAAATTCCTCTGAATTTTTTTTTTTTGCAAAAATTAAAAGAACACTTATCTATATCAGTCCGGGAGACAAAAGGGTGCAGAGAGAACTAGAAACTGCAAAATATGAAACTGTCTTGGACTGGTCCGCCCCCTCTCTTTTATAATCTCTTATGAAACTATTTCCTAATCTAATTAGGAAATCATCCAAATCTAAATTGGATCTGGACTCTAATTAGAGATAGACCTTATCTTCTTATAAGATTAGATCCTCTATACCTAGATCCAAACCCGGATTCTCCCCATGTCACACGACAACTTAAGATGTCATGTGACAACTTAATTAATCACATTAATTATGGGCCTTAGGCCCATCATCTATAAGGCTCACGACCCAAAGGTGTTGCATGGCCAAGTTAGGCTTGATTTGTATGGCGTGGAACCCCATCATAACCTCACATAAGTCCACATGAAATTAGCCCAGCCTTTGGGAAAAGGCCTGGCCGAATTCACTGCTAAATGCAGTGAACCCTTGAACACATCACCATGGGCTCAAAAACGGGCCCAACATTTACACTTAAATGATCATTGAATTCAGCCATCCTATGAAGACCCAAGGATAATGAACTTAAGTAACCTAGGGTCTTTAGCTAACAAGAACAGTTGTTCAACATGTGTAATATAATTAGCTAATTATTATCTCATTTTTTCTTAAAATTGTTTAAAATTACCCAAAAAACTTCTCAAGCTGTGTCATGCGAGAGGCAAGCTTCTCAAGCCTTGTTGTAGAGGCCACTATCAGACATTGTCTACATGTTTCAAGTTTTGTCGATCCTTCCACAACTGGTTGCAGGTTGGGTTTCTACCTAGCCCGCTCAAAGAAAACAATGATGTAAGCAACACTGAATAATAAGAATTTGTATTTGCATCCTAAAATGCACTAGGGGAATTCTCCTTAGACGGGCAGCAAAGAGGCAAGGTTATGAAGCAGGTTATTGGTATTTTTGGAAGATGAAGAAACAGAATCCGATTCTAGTCGGAGAGGCAGAGTTAGACACAATGGCGAGGGAACTATTACAGAAGATGGAGAGGGAGGTGGGTTATGGGCCACTTAGTAAGTGTTCTCAATTAAGGTCAATCATGGCATCGGTTAAGGCTCAGTTTGGAAGGAGCACAAATACATATATAGAGTGCAAAACCTTGTATTTTGTATTATTTTATATGTATTTGCACGGTCCATATTTGTATTTGTATTCCTTCTAAACTAAGCATAAGTAACAACATTGAATTGCATGAATCCAACTGGCCCCTAATCCCAAGTCCCAACCTTCTCGGACAAAAAGACGAGCTCTCTCTCTCTCTCTCTCTCTCTCTCCATATAATCTTGATTAATCACATTTAGCAGTTTCTTGTTAAGAATCAGTGTACCATTTCTCAATATCATCCTACACAGAGAACATAGTGCAGGCATACTGCATAAGAGCAAGAAAATTCATCAAATCAAATGGTAGCAAGACCAGCATGACCCATTATCCACCACCATTCTACTAATAGATAAAAATAAGAAAAGAACGAATAAATGAAAATAGAATTCCGCCCAAAGGAGAGAGAGAGAGAGAGAGAGAGAGAGAACAATAGAAACATAGCAAGAGAGCGCAGCGTGAACACTTCGGCCATGGCAGATCCGCCGACGTTAACTCCATTCGACAGTTGTAAAGCAACCTTTTTGGATAATCAACCATAGCAAATAGCAATTTATAGAAAAAAAAAAAAAAAACAAAACAAAACAAAACGAAACTCCTGTTTCAAGCTCAAGAAGAAAGAGAAGAAGAAGAAAATCTCCCACCTTATGCAACTTCAGGCGCAAGGCAAAAGGTGTACGTCTCTGGGCCTACACCCATCACGTCCACTGCAAGGCTACCGAGGCCAAGCGATTTTTGAGCAACTTGCCTTGAGGCACACCTCACGCCTCTAAAACCATGGTCAACAATGCAGATTTGCAAAGGAAAAGTATAATAAACTTATGAAACAATTCCAATAATGCTTGTATCCTCTGATTGGCTAGTGATGGGAACCCCCACAAGATGTGGCTAGCTTATTCAACT